AATCGCCGGCCATTGGACGGCCACTCACGGTAGCTCACGGCAGCCCCACTGCAGCCTATGCCATCGCTGGTAGCCCAGCTCCAGGTGGAGCTGTTGTTCACCGTCTTAATTGTAGAGGGCACAGCGTCACTGGTGCATGTGGGAACAGAACCAGTGGCCCTGATGTTCAGAGCTGGCCCTCCCAAGCCAACTTTTAACCAACTGAGCCACTCGGCTGGCCCCAAGAATTATATTAAAAAAATAGAATTAATAAGTGAATTTAGTAAGTTTTCAGGATACAAGGCCAAAATACAAATATCAATAGTGTTTCTATGTACTGGCCACAAATCACATTTAAAAATGTCATAGACAATAATTGTAGTAGTACCATAAAAAGCAAATACTTAGAACCTGCACACTTAAAAATTACATAACATTGCTGGGATAAATTATGGAAGTCCTAAATAAATGGAAGCATCTGGAAATGCTTGATATCATGATCTGGGCAGCAGTTAAATGGATATGTATGTACATAAACATTTGTTGATCTGTGCTGTAAAGATTTCTGTACTTTACCATATATGAACTAAACCTCGATGAAAAAGTTTTTAAAAGTTAACAACAATAAAAAAGACAGACAAAAAGTCATAGTGGCTTAGAGAGAAGGATTAGATATGTGGCCACAGTAGACTTTTCAGTACTTGACCCCAGAATTAGATAGATTAACCTATCTTGCCTGCTGGCACAGCTGGGTAACTACAGCCTACATTTACCAAAGGCCGGAGAATCAACTAGAACCTATGCGTACTGTCAAAGGTTCCTGGCTCCAAATGAGAGAGAAATGGCTGCGCCGAGCACGCCCACTTTCTTTTTCTCCATTCACCAATAAGATGAATCCTCTTCTCTTCCCATTAGGCAAGAGAAAGAGACCTGAGGTGTTTCTCTAGAGGAGTCTCTTCACACACACAAAAACTTAATCGAAGGGGAAGAAGGGCATTCGTCCCAGTGCTTTAGTCTTCTCTCCTTTATAAAATGGTGATAACAGAACATATCTCACCCAGTTGTGTAAGGATTTGAAAAGATACTATATGCGAATGGCGTTGCCAAGTACCAATAAGTGTGGAAGTGGTGAAGCAAAGCATAACAACTTTAGAGGCGGAAGAGATCTTCAGGAAGATACTCTGATCTGCTTGTGGTATGTTTCGATTAGGAAACTGAGACCCACCCAAAGAGGTCTAGACCCCTGTCGGAGTTCCATGGCTTGTCGGAAATGTTGACACATTATAGCAGGACTGCGTCCAGGTCCCAGGTGCTCGTGTGCCTAGTCCAGCAGTCTTAATGCTGAACCACTGTGCTTAAGAGCCATCTTAAATGGCAGTGGGTAGAATTGGCCCCCCTCCCACCACCCCTCCCGATCATCATGGATTTCCTGTTTTCAGAAGGTACACAGTCCAATCCTACCCCCCGGGAGGCGACAACTTACAGCCCTTGTGCTTTCACAATAAGAACAAGATTACTATTTTAGAGTCAAGGTAGCTATTTTCACAATACACTGTGAAGTAGTTAGGCAGGTATTCTTTGGAAAGTAAATAAACACAGTCAATTACAATTATTTGATTCTATTTAGTATATTAGAAAAGGTAATGGTTTAATAATACCCTAGTGGTCTATAACAGTTAACGCACCACAGAAAATGAAGCATAAAATGCCCTTCTCACTAATAACTCTGAGACTAGTGTTATGAAAGGCACTAAACCCCAGGGAATTAAAATGTTTTCACCTCCCCACCAAGTGACAGTATTCTTAGTTTGGATACTCTAGTCACTCACAGTCACAAAACATAGAATATGTGCAGAGCAGAAAAGCCTGTAGCGTATTCTGTTGGTTCAGTGATAGATCCCTGCGACATTATCTGGGACAGTTGCGATGGCAAAGAAAATGGTACTGTTAGATGGCCAGATGACTTTCTAACTCTCTGTCACACGTTCCCAGATGGTAGTGCATCCCAAGCTGGGCTCGGGAGTTCTTACTGATGGTAGCACCGGCTTCAGCCACCCAGTGGCTGGCAGGGTCGGGAGGTGCCTGGACTCACCTAAGGTCGACACAAACACACGAATTCTTTGTGCTCATGTTGGAATGGCGTGAGTTACACATATTCCCTGAAATCATGGGCCTCCTGGCTCTCTGTGTGATAAATACTGACAAGATAGGCTTCTTTGCCATCATTTGCTGTGGATAGAGTAGAGGCCAGTGCTTTGAAGTCAGTGAGCCAGCTGTGCACATCTGGACCAATCCCAGGGAGAAGCCGCAACAGCTTGAGGATGATCCTGGGGCACAGCAGGCTGCCATGTGCAGGTCACCAGAAAAGCGCCTCCTCTGTAGGTTTCTACATCTGCGCCCGTGTTGCCACTGAGGGTAACAGGGTGTGAGGGTCATCCGGACACCACTGCTCTTTCCTCACTTGAAAACGGCAAGATGAATGTCCACTTGGCAGGATTATCACGAGCTCGTTATTTGAGTCTGTATGCAACAAATACAAAAAAATAGTAGCTAGTATTATTATTAATGTATTCATTTCCCATTAAAATTAGATGAATGTAAAATTGTTAAAATTAATAATATTCTGATTGTTTATTGTATCTATGAAACACACGTACATGTATGTATACATATGTATACATAAATGTATATATATTTGCATGTGTTATGGGTGTTATTACCTCTATTTAACATAGATAGATGTAAATCTCACCCACAATAACATCAGTAAATATATAAAGAGGGCAGTGTGGCTGGGGAAACTTGTCACCATTTGACTAATGTGCCTTGTTTACGCCTGTGTTTCCAGAATAATTATTAATCACATCACTCTCAAAAGTGACCCACTTTGGACAATAAGTTATGTAATCACCCTAAATAGGATCAAAAGGAAAACACTGATCTCAGGGAAAGCCAAGAACAGTTACAGTCTCAATGCTGATGAATAATACAGCCATTAAATGACAACGGCTGAAGAAATTTGTACTGGAGACACCAACACAAATTTTAAAATATGTAATAATTCCTTCATAGCAGTTACCAAAGCAAAAACAGCAACAACAAACTCAGTGTTCATAAGGCTTGTCGCACATAGTGAATTTTCCATTTGGTGAAGAATACTCTGTGTTTCTTCAGTTTGCCCCTGGGTTGACCTTGATAGTTGCAACTTCAAGTGGATGGTGTTAGTATTGACTAGAACCCTTGAAGTGGCTGCTGCATTGAGGTTATTTTGCCACTCAATTTTTGTCTGTTTTACTTTTCTTTCTTTAAGTCCTGCTCATTTCTCCAATTCTAGCAGCTTTAACATTTAGCTCCCACCCTTGGAGATTTTGAGCAGTCTTAAAAGGCTTATTTAAAACTTATCAGACAGATGGCATTAATTTATCTCTTTTATATCCTAATATAAAAGAGAGAGAAAGCAAACTAACATTAAGAGCCAGGGTTCTGGGTGACAGACATTAAGTCACCCTATTTCAGTGACTTTGCAGTTTTTGGAAGGAGGATATTTGCTTTCTCTTTTACATAACTTTCCATACTTATTTCCTCTCAGAAAATGCCTTTTTTCTAATTGAGAAAATATTACTTTAGCAAATCACACTATTAATAACATCCTAGTAAGCAACATTGGAAAATGGATTAAAATGAATCCCCATTGAGGCTTCAACCTGGCCTGGATGTTTTGTATCCCACCCTTGGGTAGATACACATGTATCTTTTTCACATTTTCAACTGTATCTAAATGGATTAGCCTTCCACTAGGCCTATATAGAAATGTCTTCTTTCATATCAAGCTCAACAACAAAGTCAAAACTCCTTACCATTTCTTCTAAATAATCCAAGCTTTCTAACTGTCAAAATTCTTTCTGCTACTCTCCAGCCCTGGAACCTTAGAGTCTAGTGACCTGTTTTAGGCTGGAACAAAGAGGTCAACTGGCCGGGGGCCAGGGGCCTCATGTTGTTCTCAACCCCATAAGCAGCTGAACTTCCCAACTTTCCCAACTTCTAGAACCTTCAGCATACACCACATAGACCCATCACTATCAGTCAAGTGAGAATTGCAGAGAGAAGCAAAGTTCTTGAACTAAGTATAAAATCTCAGAATTATGCCAGGGGTGTGTTCCAAATCTATTTTGTTTTCCAAACCCGTTACCTTTATTTCAGCAAACCCAATTGATCCCTGAATTTCTCATCCATATGTAAGTCCTAAAGGTTATACTTCTGATATGAAACATATCTAATACAATACTGTTCTTGTGAAACTGCCTGGCAATTGTAGAACTTTTAATAACGTGTGACATATATAGAAATGGGTTTTTAAAATTCATTGGTAAAAGCTAAAGGCTAAAATTAAATGTATATTATGACTTTTCCATCAAGAAATATTTTACCTGAGTTTCTAATAATTGGCAAACCTGATTCAAACATTTTTGTACTATAAACTGTATATAAGAAGAGATTCATACTACCTAGCTCTCCTTCTTATTCTGGGTTTTTATGGCCCTTGAGATGATAAAATTAGTGGGATCATCCAAAGAAAATATCAGGGTTTAGATAATGCACAACTGTTGTACTGTGAACTGTGGATTGTCATAGAGGAGGGTGTCAAAAATGTTTTTTTTTCAGTAGTGTGATATAGGGAGACCAATTTTAATATAAGTTTTTGTGAACTAGTAGGGAATAAGAGTTATTTCCATTCTTCTTAAGGATATACTTGCAATATTTGCAAGTTTTCTTTTCTTTTTTTATTTTCACCTCTATGAAATTTGTTTTATACGTTATAAAACCATTATTGAATTTGGAAAATAAAATTGAATAAACTATCTGCAGATAGAATATCTGAGAACTAATCATAAGTACAAAGCTTTCACAGGTGGGCTTGGCTTTCCCTTCCCCTGAAAGGCCTGCAGAGCGCTTGAGAATTAAACACGCAGGCCTAGCCTGCACTGCTGCCACCTTGGTAGTGATCTGTTTTTACGTTCCAGGCAATGAAAGCTTAGAAGAAAACTACGTTCAGGACAGTAAAATGGGGTTTGTCATCAACGCCATCTACGCTATGGCGCACGGGCTGCAGAACATGCACCATGCCCTGTGCCCGGGCCACGTGGGCCTCTGCGATGCCATGAAGCCCATCGACGGCAGCAAACTGCTGGACTTCCTCATCAAGTCCACGTTCATCGGTGTGTCCGGAGAGGAGGTGTGGTTCGATGAGAAAGGGGATGCCCCTGGAAGGTAAGGCAGTCTTTCCCACTGTGGATGCGAATATCCTGTGAGCCCTCCTGAGCCAGACAGACGGCAGCTCTGGCTCCTTTTGGCTCCATGGTTTCTGGGTGTCATGAGGATAGATACAACTAGGAAGCTAAAGAGACAGGGCTAATGTTAGACGGAAATTACATTTCAAAATGTGCAAAACCATATTGGTAAACACCCACCCCCTGCACCCTGCCAGTGCCACCCCCTTGCCCAGCATCACCCCAGCCCCTCCCTCAGAGCACCTGTGACCTCCCTGCAAAGCCCTCGAAACCAAAGCGATTACGCCTGACCAGCAAGACCCCCGCGGGCACTACCAGCTCCAGGCCAGCGGTCCTTCTTATTGATTGGTCCCAATGCCATCCTCGTTGTGAAATATTTTAATATTCTGCCTGGTTAAAGAGCTTCATTTGTGAAGAGAACAAAGTCCTACACATGTATCCCTTTTTCTCAGGCTAACTTATGTTCCTCTTGGAACATGAAAGGAAAGAATTTTCTTTCTGGCTTTGAGCCTGTATGGCTTCCAAAGAAGTAATCAAGAGACAAAGGAAAATTAAGCCTCACTAATATATACATATATTTTCCCTAAGTCATCTGATATTCAGGATGTTCTTCATCACTTGCTTTATAACACCAGTGAGCGCGTATGTAATTGGTACATAGAGAATGCTGTCAGCATGAAGAGTAGTTACGTGTGTTCCTATGAATTGTCCTAGGCAAGGAATAATCAGAACAGAGGAATAAGAAGCAGAACTGGCAACGGGAAAGAAAAAGGCCCTCAGCTTGGCTGCTGCACAATCTGCCCATCATCTTTGTTGTTGCTTTTCCTCTCATAAGCCCTGTTATCATTCAGTACATGGCTTTGCAGAACGAGGGAGTTTAGGAAAGCATATGTCGTGTTAAAGTGGAGCATCACGTCATTTAATCTTCATTGCTTTAGGCGTCTCATTGTCCCCTTTCACAGATGATAAAACTCAGGGTCAGAGAAACTAAGAAACTTACCTAGAAATCACGCAGGGAGGAGCCGGTGGAGGCAGCACCGTCTGAATCTGAGGCTTGTCATCGTTTTGCCAGGTCACACTCCTGCCTTTTAGCTAATCCTGAAATTAGGCCAACTTGAAGGCAGCTTTCTTAGCGTCATTTCAAAGGTACTATAGGTGACTATTTATAATAGGAGGGACCCCTGTAAGACATTGTAAGCGACCCTAAATAATTCTCCATCATCTCTTCCTTTCCTGTAAGCGTCAAGGCCCATGTTTACAGAGTGCCTTGCGGGGCCTGAGTGGATTCTCCCTGTTAAGATCCAACAGCTCTAGGAAAGGTAAATGATATAAGTAATTGTCAGCAATTAGAACGATGAATTTATGAGACTCCTTCCAAGCTGCCAGTTAGTCGGGAGCAGATTTAGGTGAAAATGCGAGCGGATGGATGGGATGGCCCAGGGCTCCGGCCTGGGGAAAGCCTCCAGGAGCTGAGCACCTTTGAAAGTGGAACCAGAAGGAACAGTGGGTTTGATTCAGAATACCACTCTCCCTGTTAAACCAATGGTTATAATGCTGGATTCCACCGGAAACCAGGCTCTGCAAAGGATTGGATTTGGAATGGAAACCTTCCTTCTCGATTGTATGAGATAACACACCCAATGTGCCTAGCACAGGGCCAGATGCATTCTAGACTCACAGGTTCACAGGTGTTTCCTCTTCCGCTCTTTATCTGTAAGTCATCCAAAATATAAGCGCTCAATTTTAGCTTGTGGCTCCCCCATCTTTAGTTACATATGGAAATCATGAGCTTCCCCCGGGTCCCTTTTCAAGGATTATTTTCTCATGCTTGAAATTGGTCATCTTAATCTGTGATCAATTTCCGTTTCAACCACCTCCCTTTGCTTTCATTTCCTGTCAGAATACCATTCATGCTTTGGACCCTCTTTTGATTATTTTAGTTAATCATCATGCCAAATAAACTGAATACATTGAGAGGATGTTGTAAAGTTGTAATTACAGCATGAAGATATTCCACATAAATGCCAACATACGGGAAGGTGCTCTGGGGTCCCGGAAAACAGCAGTGTCATTAACACACACAGCACAGGGGAAGGGCTCTCTTTAGTAAGTCGGTAGTTTTCCTTGGTGTCTTTCGGTATTTTTTTTATTTCCCCTCTGGGTTTTGGGGCTTTTTATAAATGTGTTTTCATACCAAAATATTGTAAGTTTTTTCAGTTTCTATGTGCTAATGAAGTGTGAACTGATGGCTCCTGTTTGAAGAGCCCATGAGGACGTTGAAATAAAAGTCTTAGGAAACTGATTTATGGGAAAATGATATTCTTAAAGCTAGCATTGCCTTTAAACCTTCATTGAAAGTATGTAAGGAGATGTAATAATGGAATATGGAGTAAAACATAAAAATGAAAGGAAATGAAAAAGCAAACATTCACAGCAAGTTCTGTAACCATGAGTTTATAATAGAAAATTATTGGAGGTATAGATGAGTATGGCTGATCAGTAGAGTGAGACTGAGCCATCAGCCCACATCAATACCCACATAAATGGACATTACATAGACAGCTACTCTGGAGAACATGCTGGTATGTCTCAGCGCCCAGGAGAGTAAGAACCTTCTAGTAGCCAAAAATCAGACTAGCCAGGAGATGAAAAATGTTCTCCAGGTGTCCCATTCTCTCCTCTCACTCTCGGTAAGGTGTGTTCCAAGAAAAGTAGGGAAAAAACTTCCTTTACTCTCCGTCTCTCCTTTCTCATTAGGGGACTGCTGTTTATAGAAAGTGCCAGAACCTGGATGTAAAGAAGCCACTAAGCTACCCTACAGGTGACACAAGGCACTTGCACGTTAAGCGCAGGCAGAAATGCCAGTAAAGGATTCAGTTTCGAGATAAAGAACTAGGACAGATACAGCCACCAGGTTTCGGACGCCAACTGAGGTTGGCTGGTGGTGGCTTCCTGCCGCGCGGGGCCCAGGAGGATTCTGAACCTGAATCTGGGTTAGGAGGAATTCCAGGATGGGTTGGGTAGGGGGGAGAGAGGAGGAGGAGAGCCCAGGAAGAGGAATATGTTAGTTATTCCTTAGTTAGTTAGTTGCCATCTATTGCTTTGGGCCAAATACAAACAGCAAGGGACCATGCCTCTTATAGGCTAACGCAGGAAGCTGAGAGCGCCACACAGGTTCCACGGAACACAATCCCACTTCACCAAGCCAGGAAGGGAGTGTCAGCGTGCATTTCCGGGAAGCTGCCATAGGAGTAAACAGCGACATGCAGAGAAGATTGAAGGATGCCAGAGAAGTTTCAATGGTGGAGACATAAATGGCGATGCCAATACAAAGATGTTCTCAAGTTTCTTATGGTCGTGGAAATAACTGCAGTATTTTGGGGCATTCATATAAATACACATATGAATGATACAGTGAATGGTATTGCCTTACATATGCATTTGTCCCAATTGTGAAATAGTTTTTTTACATACCTTACATTAATAAATCCTCACAAGAAACCCATGAGCCTCAAAGAGTTCAGTGACATTCCTAAGTAGTTTAATCTACTGTTAAAATATTAGAAAAGGGAATCTATAATAGCTAGCACATTCCAAGGCCAAGTCCTGTGTTGCTTTCACTGCATTGGGGGACGCTCTCCACTGCCCGCACTGAAAAAAAGATGAGTTCTGGCCCCCCAGAACACACCCTAGCTGCAGGGAAGATTTCTAAATGCAGATTTTGCCCCTGTGTAGCATTGAGGCATTTGAAATTTCTGGTAGAACTGACACCGATTATTTGGATTCAGAACTGTTTGTCCTAATCAAGGAAGAGACCAGTTTAAATGTCAATGCTCAAGATGTTAAATCCCCAACATCCTTGCTAATTAAAGATGCATTTCTCAGATTTCTTGCTCTCTTAGCCCCTAAAATAGGCTCTGGACTTGATACAACTCACTGCTTTCAATCCAGTGTAACGAAAATAACAACTGAATGTGAAAAAGAAAGTTGGAATAAAAGTAACTAAGTTAAGGAATGAGGGCCAGCCGAGTGGCGCGAAGTTTAAGAACTGGCTTGGGGAGCCAGAGGGAGTGGCGCAAAGGTTAAGAACTGGCTTGGGGAGCCAGAGGGCCTCGGTTCGGATCCCACATGTGAGGGCCAGTGACACTGCCCTCTAAAACAAAACAAAACTGTGAGCTAAGTTAAGGAATGAATGTTCTTAAGAATTGTTACTTGTTCAAAAAATAACTTAGTGAATAATGATTTGAAGGAGAGGATGATCAACTCAGCACACATAGAATTATTTTTTTGGAGAATAAGCAGAGAGAAGGTATAAGAGTAATATCTTCCTTAGCAAATATGGCCGATTTGCAGACTGAGGAATGAAATGCAAGTTTTGAAAAATCAGAGGAAACATTAGAAATAAAGTACTGCCAGTAGCTGGGGTTAGGGTGTGGGATGATTCTAGCTTTCATGTCCCTTCCCTCTATTATCATCTATTTACCAGATTTGTTTTCCACATCATGTCCATATTCTCCAAGACACGTGTGCTGTTTCTTCACAGATATGACATCATGAACCTGCAGTACATTGAAGCTAATCGCTACGACTACGTACATGTTGGAACCTGGCACGAAGGGGTGTTGAACATTGATGACTACAAAATCCAGATGAACAAGAGTGGGATGGTGCGCTCTGTGTGCAGCGAGCCTTGCTTGAAGGGTCAGATTAAGGTAAACCAGCCACAGATGCGTTCTTGGACGGCGTTCAGGAGGGCGCCCCCTGCCGGCACATAAATAGAGACAAACACAGACATCTTTCTTAGACAAGATGGTCTAAAAAGGGCCGGCCAGGCGGCTTCCTGTCTTTGTGTTTGCGTTTAGCTGAAATTGAAAAGACGAGGAAAGATTAGGAAATGGAACAGGCAAACCATTTGAATGTGTAGAGTGGTCCTCATGTGAATCGCAGTGATGAGTGGAGATCTCCACTACAACATAGAAAGCAAGGGGTAAATAACCGAATTAAAAATTGAAACAGAAGTAAACGTGGAAACCAAAACCAATGATACTGCTTAGTCATAGTGCTAGTTATTGTTAAAGAAAGCAGAAGCTGAACGGTGCTAAATAAGCATATAACTAAAATAAAAGAAGTTGAAATGAGGTAACACAGAAGCATTGCTTATCAGGACTCCACCAAATCCTTTGATTTTTCTGAAACGTGTTTTTTAGCCAAGAGAGAGTCCTCACTTTTTAATTATTCTCAGATGCTTGTTTTTCAGCTTGGGGCAAGTGACTAACCGTGATATTACTGTATACACAAAACTAGAGGAAATAAACATCAAATATTGAGCATTTGGCTGGACATGCCAGGGAGAATTCTCCGTGAAGAAGGCATGGAAACAGCGCTCTCTGTATCCCATGCTATTTAAAGCCAAACTGAATGATGCACTAGGAAATGGAGCATAGGGGAGTGATTGTGAACTGGCAGTATAGGTTAAATCACCCAATAGGTCTTTCCCTGTCTAATTTTCTGTGACCCTTCTCTGGGAGCAGACAGACTGTCACATAAATGTCACACAGCACAGCTGGAGCTGGAGCAGATGCTGGGTGAGGCTCTGGCCCTCTCGCCATGCTGCCTGCGTTCTTGGGAGAGCGGAACCACCCACGGAGGGGAGATGCCCTGACAAGTACACGTAGGGCGTTTAGGGCAAGAGTCTAGTCATGGACAGAAGTGTTGGTGTGGAAACTGGAAAAGCGTTATCTCTACCGATAAAAGAAAGTGGAGGATTTGGAACCTGCAACAGCTTTGGCAGCTGAGGTACCCAAACTCCCAGTGATACCGGCTGCCTTGAGGAAGACACAACCTTCTGAGACAGTCCACCCTACTTTTAAATATCTTGTGCTTTCTCTGCAAATGTTATGTTAAAAATATTTAATAACTGTCATGACAACTAACCAGTCAGAACAGAGTCCATTCTAGTGATGTGACAGGGTGCTGGAGGCCTCCTGCCATGCCCATGGCTAATCCTTGAGTTGTGGGGTCATGGGAAGATCTGGGCGAGGGGTCCTCCAAGGCTGGGGCAGTATGGGACATTCAGGGTGCTTGAAGATACCATTAGTTTTCACTCAGTGTGGAAGTATTTTAGTAGTGTATGCATGGCTCCAGGCAAGCCAGTGTTTATTGCTATATGTCAGCATGGCTTCTCCCCAAGAATTCATTTCTGATTCTGGCCTTGATGGAATTCTTTCACATAAGGCTGTGTGGTGGTATGTAGGAATATATCTTCTGAAATTCAGAGGCCCATCTCCTTCTTGTGAGATGCCAGACCCCTGGATTCTGCTTTCGTCATCTTTTCTGGATGATGGGGAAACAGGACATCTGAGACCTAGAGTCATTTTATGGGGATAACACAGCAGCCCAGCAGCCCTGGGCTCACGC